GCCTCCTGGACAGCAACCAATCTGGCTTCAGAAGTGGACATTCGACTGAGACTGCCTTGCTTTCAGTTGTTGAAGCCCTAAGACTGGCAAGAGTGGCTTCCAAATCTTCTGTACTTATCTTGTTGGATCTGTCCGCTGCTTTTGACACCGTTAACCACCAGATTCTCCTGTCAGCCCTATTGGCAAAGGGCATCTCAGGAACCGTGCTCCAGTGGTTTGAGTCTTACCTCTCAGATAGGTCCTTCAAGGTATCTTGGAGAGGTGAGGTGTCCAAGTCACAACATCTAACTACTGGGGTGCCTCAGGGCTCAGTTCTTGGACCACTTCTTTTCTGTCTACATGGCATTACTAGGTTCTGCCATTCAGAAACATGGCTTTTCTTATCACCGCTATGCTGATGACACTCAACTCTACTTCTCATTCCATCCTGATGATCCGACGATAGCTGCTCACATCTTAGCTTGTCTAACAGACGTTTCTTGCTGGATAAAGGACCATCACCTTCAACTCAAGACATAACTGCTTGTGGTTCTATCAAACCCATCGTTTCATTACAATTTCACCATCCAGTTAGGCTCATCAACCATAACTCCTTCAAAAACAGCCAGAAACCTTGGAGTTATGATTGAAGATCAGCTGACTTTCTCAGACCACATTGCTAAAACTGCCCGGTCCTGCAGATTTGCTTTATTCAACATTAGGAAGATCAGGCCCTTTCTTTCAGAACATGCAACACAACTCCTTGTTCAAGCTCTTGTTCTATCCAGGCTGGACTATTGCAATGCTCTCTTGGCAGGTCTTCCAGCCAGTTCTGTCAAACCTTTACAATTAATCCAGAACACGACAGCAAAAAATGCACTTCACACCTGTGTTTATCAGTTTGCACTGGCTACCAATAGCTGCTCGCATAAAATTCAAGGCATTAAACAAGAGTTATCATTCATTCACACCATCTATAACGATACCATTTTGATAATTGTTCTATCGATGAGAATAGTGAAGTCCACACCACCTATAACGATAGCGTCACAGAGAAACGGTATTGTTCCAGTGACTTAATGTTTTTAATTACTGCACGATAAAGACGTTGACAGCCAATCAGAATCCACCAGTGGTTGAAGCTGCTGCACGCGCTTATAACGCACAGAACGTTTTCGACTGTTGGTCTTACTCCGGTTAGACGCCATTTTAATTTTTTTACAGTAATGAAATCAAGGCTTTGGGGGACAGACTACAATCTTTACAATGGCATGCACTGTATTAAGGTCCTAGAACTTTTCACAATTTTAAACCCTGTTTCGTGTAATAGAGTTATTTAAAGTTTTTTTTCATAAGTTTTGATAGCTAAACGTTTGTTAAACAAGTACAGTCCATTAAACACACTGTACTTAAATGCCTAAGAGCCTCGTTTTCTTTCCTTTCAGAAATTAAATATAGCTACTATATTACTATATGATTCTGAAGTAATGAATTTAGGTAAAGGGGTGCAGAGCCAGTGGTGGTTTTGTAGGCAAACATTAATGCAAATAATTGCACATACTGGAAAATCCTAAAGACTTACATTACCTATCCATGAATGATATTTTAAAGCAAGATTTGAACATTTTTATTCAGAGCAGAGCTGGGAATTCAAGTGCACCAACATCTGCGAACAACAGACACATGAAAAAGTGCATCTGTCAATTTAGTAGCTGAACAAACCATTTTGTGGATAAACAACAGCACAGTATTTACAGTAATAATGAAAGAACATATACAAAAAAAAAGTTCTGTTAGAATGTGCTGATGGTTTGCAAAATACTTGATTGGTATTAAATAAAATGTTCACAATTGACTTTAGTCTAATGTCATTCTTACAAAAAAGTCGATTTTTACAACCATATTGCAATTCTCAATTAGGATTTAGAAAATATTCACTGTAATTCAATTTTCATTGAAAAAATATGCAATTAATGGCAGTACAAGTACTACCATCATGCTTGACCAATTTTTTTTTTTTGAGTTGACAGATTCCCTCATTTACAAAAGTGGCATGAAAGACATTATCAGATTTAGTGTCAACTTTTCTTTTTACTGAAGCAAAAAAAAAACCCACTTTTTAGTGTTAGTCAGCAAAGAGAAAACCTTTTCACAAAAATACATTAAAATAATTAAAATGGCCTTTCCAAAACTGAAACGTTCAAAAATCTCAAGAGGAAAGATATAAAATTACAAAACGTCCCTGTTGCAGTGTGTGGCTCTCGCACTTCGCTTCGATGAACCCCCGTGTCCCCTGTTCTTGTGGCTTTGGTTCAGACCGTGCTGGTTTGGCAGTAGTCCTGCTGAAGGTCCCACTCCTTCAGACCCCAAACCCAGAGATAAACCACTTCAGACCTGAACTGATGATCAAATCAAAACGCTTCATAGTTCACAAAAACACAAACCTGTCTTCATTTGCCCTCCGAGACGTCTTCCCGCTGCTCAGCAGCCAAGTGCTTTTGTTCTGACGAGAAAACAGATCAAATAAATCCCTGTTTTTACCAGTCCAGCAACAGAAGAACCTGAGAATAACAGGTCACCTCTCGCCTGCCGTAGTTTGTTCCTCTCGGCCTCTCGCTCTTCTCTGGTCTGGTTACTCTTCACACCCAGAGCCCCGATCACCAGGCGGCGTGCCAGAGCCGCACTCGTCTGAGGACGCTCTTTAGCCGGCAGCAGGTAATCTACACAGAGACAATCAGGTTTGATTTATGAATTAATTTGTGATGGATGCGCAAAACAGGCTCAGAATAGTTCAGGCTTGAGTGAATAAGAGAGAGCAGGTGTACCGGAGCAGCTGCGTGCTTTGGCTTTAGTGGTGTTTGATGATTTGGAAAGAGGCCTGACCTTCATCATGGGGTTCTTCATCCTCAGAGCATCACGAGCTACACAAACACACACGTATATACAAGAAAAGGACAAGGTTTCTCATTTTGGGGGCTTCTCGTTTCTATTTAGTCATTTAGCAGATGCTTTTATCCAAAGCGACTTACAGATACATCAATGTTATATTATATATAATTATATTAATGTAACTTATCAATGTTTTGAATGTGTAATGCGAATAAAGAATAAGCAGGATAAGTTTTATATAAACATACATTAGCTAGCAATCAATTCACTTGAAAAACAACCAAAAATCGCTGTATTAGATAAACATTTGAAAAAGTGCCATTTCTACTCTTCAAACTCTTTGGTTTCTTTTACACAGATCTTCCTCAGACAATTTCAGGTCCTCACACACATCACAGAAGTTAATACCGTCATGCTGTTTTCCTCCAGGTCCACCAGCGATTGACTCCAGAGATCTTATAGGCATCATAAAGCCATTCTCTTCTCTTCTAGAACACACTGACCTGCAATGGGACTGGAGAACAAACCCAGGGCATGAGTGTCATCAATCCACTTGATGTCAAACCCCTTCTGCCTGAAAAACACACATATGATCAATAACACCAGGGGCTCCCAAACATTTTGTCAGCCAAAACCCTTATATACAGTATGTATATGTATATACTGGGCAATATGAGTGTGTATATATATATATATATGTGTATATATACATATAATTCGCACTTCGCTTCGATGAACCCCCGTGTCCCCTGTTCTTGTGGCTTTGGTTCAGACCGTGCTGGTTTGGCAGTAGTCCTGCTGAAGGTCCCACTCCTTCAGACCCCAAACCCAGAGATAAACCACTTCAGACCTGAACTGATGATCAAATCAAAACGCTTCATAGTTCACAAAAACACAAACCTGTCTTCATTTGCCCTCCGAGACGTCTTCCCGCTGCTCAGCAGCCAAGTGCTTTTGTTCTGACGAGAAAACAGATCAAATAAATCCCTGTTTTTACCAGTCCAGCAACAGAAGAACCTGAGAATAACAGGTCACCTCTCGCCTGCCGTAGTTTGTTCCTCTCGGCCTCTCGCTCTTCTCTGGTCTGGTTACTCTTCACACCCAGAGCCCCGATCACCAGGCGGCGTGCCAGAGCCGCACTCGTCTGAGGACGCTCTTTAGCCGGCAGCAGGTAATCTACACAGAGACAATCAGGTTTGATTTATGAATTAATTTGTGATGGATGTGCAAAACAGGCTCAGAATAGTTCAGGCATGAGTGAATAAGAGAGAGCAGGTGTACCGGAGCAGCTGCGTGCTTTGGCTTTAGTGGTGTTTGATGATTTGGAGAGAGGCCTGACCTTCATCATGGGGTTCTTCATCCTCAGAGCATCACGAGCTACACAAACACACACGTATATACAAGAAAAGGACAAGGTTTCTCATTTTGGGGGCTTCTCGTTTCTATTTAGTCATTTAGCAGATGCTTTTATCCAAAGCGACTTACAGATACATCAATGTTATATTATATATAATTATATTAATGTAACTTATCAATGTTTTGAATGTGTAATGCGAATAAAGAATAAGCAGGATAAGTTTTATATAAACATACATTAGCTAGCAATCAATTCACTTGAAAAACAACCAAAAATCGCTGTATTAGATAAACATTTGAAAAAGTGCCATTTCTACTCTTCAAACTCTTTGGTTTCTTTTACACAGATCTTCCTCAGACAATTTCAGGTCCTCACACACATCACAGAAGTTAATACCGTCATGCTGTTTTCCTCCAGGTCCACCAGCGATTGACTCCAGAGATCTTATAGGCATCATAAAGCCATTCTCTTCTCTTCTAGAACACACTGACCTGCAATGGGACTGGAGAACAAACCCAGGGCATGAGTGTCATCAATCCACTTGATGTCAAACCCCTTCTGCCTGAAAAACACACATATGATCAATAACACCAGGGGCTCCCAAACATTTTGTCAGCCAAAACCCTTATATACAGTATGTATATGTATATACTGGGCAATATGAGTGTGTATATATATATATATATATATGTGTATATATACATATAATACATTAAATACATAAAAAATTACTTGAAGCCCTCCAAAGTTTTTAAGTTAATATTTCAATAATTTAATGACACTGGTTCTCAGATATCAGTTAACGGTTACATGACATGCAAGTAAACATAATTTCTAATCTTTTTTAGTTTAGTGTTTTAGTTTGCTATATATATATATATATATATATATATATATATATATATATATATATATATATATATAGTAGCTTTAGACAAAAACTCTTGATAAAAAAAAAACTTGATTTGAAAGTGCTTGCTGAGTAATATAATTTCCTAAGAGAACTTAAACGAGCACAATTACAAAAGAAATAGGAAAAAGCTAAGTGTATACTACATAAAAAACTACATTTTTATTCTTTAGCAATCTCATATATATATATATATATATATATATATATATATATACTGTATATTGCTACCAGTTACAATACAAATATTTATACCTTAAATTCTCAACTTTCAGTGTTTAAGCTTTTATTTTGGCAGTTTTCTCAAAAATAAGCAATACTATGAATAGAAGACAATACATTTTAGTCAGAAGCAATGGTTCAAAGTTAAAACATATTAATGATGGATTTGTTTCTTACAAACACAGCTTTTTTACATTGCTGAGCAAGTAATGCTAAATTTCTCCAAATTTGTTCTGATGAAGAAAAACTCATCTACATCTTGAGTAAACTTTCAGCAAATTAAATTGTTTGGTGAACTATCCCTTTAATGTAATTACAGCCTTTGATTTGACAAGACATGTTGCTATTTCAGATTTAGTTTGATTTATTTATTTTAATGTTGATTTGATTTAATCAGTTATTATCTTTTCATCAACCCTCTGTTTTGGGAAGGCCTGCTGTAGATGTTATGAAATCATTGTGATTCACGAGCGGAGCTTGACGCACTGGAACGAGCTGAAGGATCTGATCAAGTCCTCCGTCTTGAACTCAGACGGGAAGTGGTAAATCTCCACGATGTGTGACAGCTCATCTTCTCGAAGCTGCACCTCCTCCTCCGGCGTCCAATTATAGTAGTCGAAGCGCGGCTCCTGTATAGACGGCTTCTTGCGGCCCTCCTTAAGAGACATCTCAAAAAGGAAGAAGAATTAAATGGTACTGGGAAATAGTTTGTGCAAAATCGTCCCAGCACTTTAGTACTGTACATTTAGTTCTGGAACTAAAGCGGTGCGAAAGGCCCTAAAGTCCTTACTAGCTTTCTGGGCCTTGAATGTGTCAGTTGTGTTGCTGTCTATGCAGGGTCAGAAAGCTTTTCATCAAAAATATCTTAATTTGTGTTCTGATGATAAACGGAGGTCTTACGGGTTTGGAACGACATGAGGCTGAGTAATTAATGACAGAATTTTCATTTTTGGGTGAACTATCCCTTTAAAGGTGCAAGTCACTCAAAAATCAGTGGAAGGATCGAATCGTCTTTGTAACTCTTACCTCCTCCACTAAATGTGGGTCAAGACAGTCACCATCATCGTTAAAGAAAGAATCCCAGTCCTCCCCTTCATCCTCCTCCTCTTTTGGCACCCCATCATGTTCTAGTGCACTACCCGTGTCCTCTGGTGTGTTCATAGTTCTGGATACATTGTCCGTATCATCTCTAGACTCCTCCTCTTTAACTGTGTGCATGTTTAGGTTTTCTTTATCTCCCTCCTCCCGCCCCCCGTCATCCGGTTTTACCTCTCCGCTTGGGGTCTCTGTCGCTTTGGCTTTGCCCTTCTTGTTCCTGTGGGCCTTGTCGGTGTACCGGGGCCTGGGTCTGGATTTCTTGTCACCGCCTGCCTGAGGCTTCTCCATCTTCTCGGCCTGGCGTTTCTTGGGCACGTAGATTTCCATGGCGGGTTTTTTCGTCCGGGCCGGAGCCGCAGTTTTGGACCCCTCTTCTGGCTGAGCTGCTTCAGTCTCCATAGGGATCTGTGTAAGAAAGTGAGTCAATGAGTGTAAAGAGGACAAAAGCTGTTTTCAGAGTAGCATATCAGCACACTGTTAGAGGGATCCATGTAAATGCCTGCATGTATATAATGTAACTTAATTGGCCAAAACGTGCTCTTTTATTCCCAGCGTGTTACACAGACGAGAAATAATAATAATAATAATAATAATGTGATTTTACAACATTAGTGTATGACTTATTATTTAAATCCGTCGTTTTCGTTATTTATAACTGACATTTCTAAACGAGGTTGGATGAGCAATGCAAAATAATTTTAAATTACAAATATAACAAATCAAATGACAACAATTCAAGATATGTTTTAAATAGTAAGCGTTCATAACATAAACACAAATCTACCGACCGTGACACCAGCATTGAGAAGCCCGAGTTATCTTTTCAAAACAACTAATATGTACTGATAGTAACATAAAAATATTCCAGGACAGTATGTTGACATTTGTAGAGGAAATTATTCGCAGTTTACTTCTACTTACATCTCTGTAGGTTTCAGCTCGCCGAAACCATGACCCGGATGTTCGGGGACGTACGGACGCCATGACGTCACGGTCGGGAAGTCTATTATGGGAGTTGTAGTTTATTATTATGAGTGTAGTTTAGAAGCGACGTCTATCCAAAGCGATGCACAATACATGTTTTATCAACTGCCAAATAAGCTTTGTATCAATAATAAAATTAAGGAAGTGTCTTTCAAAATACTTT